AATGAAACAGATTAGGCATCAAGACATAGGAAATGTTCCAACTATCATATAATATGAATTTATCACAAATCCTAAATGGTTGGACAAGGTCTCAACATAATAATTCACAATAAAATCGCAAAAAGAATTTTCAAACACAAGATATTCAATGGAAGGTTTATAGCAGTAGACATGATCTTTTCAAACAAATAGAAAATACAAATCATAGAAGTATACTTTTCTGTAGTAGCAATAACTAAATAATGTATACTAGTAATAAGAACTTTGCAACAATGAATAAAGAAGGCTAGCAATAAGGACTGGCATATTATACTCCTAGGAGAAATAAACAAAAACCTCAAACCAATCTTGAAAAATATAACAATTATAAAAACTCATGTATCAATAAATCAACTGATCCACATATAAAAATGTTGATTAACAAAGGCTTTGAAGATAGTTATTGTATATATCATCTCATCAAAAGAAAGTTTATATAAAGAGGGCAAGACAGTAAAAGTAGAATAGATCAAATATGGCTCAGTACTTCAAACAAATAGCTCTGAATACTTTTCAATAACAAAGCCCCATGAAAATTGCAAATCAACTATAAAATATTAAAAAGGTTAGGCAGGATGAAAAAGAATATTTAAGAAAAATGTTAAATATTTTTCTAAAATGACAAATAATAACTACTGATTAAAAACAAAGCCATATTTATTCAATAGTAAAATCAAAGCCATAGGAATGTGATCTTCAAAATACAAGACCTATTGTATTACTAGAAGTCACAAGAAAATATTTTACTAAAATTCTAACAAATAGACTAGAAACATATGCAAGCTTAATAATATTTTGAGAAATCCTAACTTTGTGGGACTACCAGGAGAAAGTATTATAGAACTGATTCAAATTTTCAACAATATTTGTAAAGATACAAGATAATACATGAAGGAGTTGTGGATACTTTTTTAAGATATAACCAAGACCTATAATATAATTGCTTGGACATGATAACAAGAGCTATAAAAAGGATCAAACTTCCAGAAGGGTTCATTAAGATTATAATAGGCCTGTTTCAGGACAGGGAATTAAGCATTATAATCAAAAATATGTTCACAAGACTAGTAATAGCTAGAGATGGAATTGATCAAGAAGAAACTATTTCATCTCTAATATGAAGAATTTTTTATAATCCTTTGTTATATAAAATTCAAAATGATAAAACAAAGGAATATGAAATGTCAATTACCTAATATCCAAGTTTAAAAGAAGGAGTTAATAAAAAATTGAAATCTATATATGTAGCTATCTCCTTTATAGATGATACTACATGGATAGCAAGATCCAAAGAAAACATAAAAAAGATTCTGAAAGAAGAAAAAATCTTTTATAGAGTCAACAACTTTCAAATTAATAATATCAAATTAGTACTAGTTACTATTAATAATCCTAATCACTATCTAGAAAAAGTTAAAGCAAAAATCAATAGTGAAACAGATAGAGAGCTAGATAGAACTGAATATATAAGATTCCTGGGGATCTGGACTGATAATCAAAAAACAATAGTTGAACTAAAAGAATGGATACTCAGAGAGATCAATACAATTACATGATTCTTTAAAAGATTGATCAACAAATAAACACTTTATATTTTAAACAAGGTTTTGATACTAAGAATAGAGTTCTATATGTAACATAGCATATTATCCTAGAAAATGTGCAACACTTTAATCATGACATATAAAAAGTACCTTAAAAACAAAAGTAACTTGTACAGATCTATACTTAATAGCATAGTATACCATTCAAAGAGCTATAATTTAAAGAGTATATAGATTCTACAAAAGGAAAATCAAATAATAGGACTATATAACAGACTAAATGATCTAGGACCAGCAGAATTTATAACAGTCATCAGAATCAAACAAATATAAATTAAATATTGGAAACTATTCAATTTACTTACCTGTAAGTCATTAGATTATACAGTATACCAAATAGAGATAACTTTGCACTTTGAGTAATAAAGTTAGCCAAAAATATAGTAATAAGGTTTCAAAACTGGAAATAGCAAGATATTTTCAATTGGAATAAAGATAACTGCTCAATCAAAGAGTATATAGTATTAGATAAATATACAAAAGCTATGCCATCCCTTAGAAACAATAAGCTGATGTACATGAATCAGTTAATCACTCATGAAACTAATAAACTAAAAAGATGGCAAATAATCCAACTAATCTAGAAGACTAGTAAGGAACCTATTCCAAAGAGATATCTAGCAATAAAAAGGAGTATATAATAAAAAGAATCAGAATAGTTCACAAAATTTTGAAAAGAAAACTGATCAAAATGGAAACCAACAATTACAAAGATAAATTTAGATAATGATAAAAACAAATACTTTGGATAGTAATAAGTGATAGATATCAAAAAATAATATGGAAAAACTAAGATCAGAAGATACCAAGAAAGTAATATAAATAGAATACTTCAAGTGTAGTGAGTCCCAAATAATCAGGAGATCAGCTTGACAAAATATTTAGGATGTACAGAAGGTAAAAACATAAAAAGTCAATATATTATAGAGACAAAAGGAAATAAAATATATAAAGTTTTCTATATAAATACAAGAAAATCTATGAGAAGAGTCCAGTAGTTAAATATTTTAAGTTCAAAATAGTTTTAAAAGAAATAATAGAAAAAACAATCCATGATAATTACAAATTCAATTTGAATAGTAAAGTAAATCAAGTAGATATAGAGGATTAAAGAAAATAGATTATTGGAAATAATATAAAAAAAGATATATATCAAGTTCATCTAATTGAAATACTCCAATATAATCAAAAATATAAATAAATATTGATTTTATACTTTAATAGATCTTTTATAAATCATGGATATGAAAAAATGAAGATTGAAATAGCATAAGTTCAAATAGAAAGAGAGAGTAGAGAAAATAAGTTCTAAATAGGAGTAGACAACTGGCCATTATCCATTAGAACAGAACTAGTAACAATAGTTACAATATTACTAGTTATTTCAATAAGTAATAAGGTTAAGATTTTTACAGACAGTCAAGTCTATATTGCCAAGTAAGAAATAATAGAGAAAGAGAATTCTAGAAAAACTCATAAAAGATGGTTAAAAGAAAAGAACTGATCCCTGTGAGCAAGAATATTGGATATTGTTAAAAAAAAAAGAACTGGATCTGGAACTGATTAAAATAAAAGCACTGTTAAAGGTCAAAGAAGTCAGAACAAGTTCATAATTTTTTCTGTGATCATGTGACCAATGATCATAATGTGACTGAAGCTTATATAAAACAATTAATTTTTAACTATCACCTACTCCTTACAAGATAGAAGAATATGGGAACAATCGATTTATATCAAAAGGTAAAAACTATGAGCTGAGGTAATAGAAAAAATTAGCTAACACAAAATAATTTATATATGACATAATACTAGAATAGCCATAATGATTATGTAATAGTTCTATATATAAAATATATAAATATAATTTCTTTCAATGACTTAATAAAATGATAAATTTTTTGAATAGATTGTTATAACAATAAATTTATAAGTAGTTTTAGGGAAAATTATTTTAAGACTTGCCCAAATCTTTTTATACCTTTGCCTTGATTTTTGTGTGAGTGATAGAAGAATAGACTCTTCTATTTGCAGATTATGTGAGCTTTTGGTTATTAGTGACAGACTTACTGATTAGCTTGCTGCAGCATACTTTAATAATTTATACAATGAAGAAGCAGATACTCTAGCAAAGGAAGCCTTAATGCTTCCTGTAATTAAATAGAAAAATCTTACTTTATCTAAAATTATTACCAAAATTAAATAATATAAAATAACTTTAGATAATTTCATAAGACAGTTTATTAAAAACATGAATAGTAAAGTTACAGCTTATCAATAGATAAAACAAAACAGGATTTCGAACAAATGGAATCGACAGATTCAAGATTAATATGACTACATATGGGATTTGGTATAGAAAAGAATAAAGAATGGATATATTTGAAACACCTTCTTTAAATATTATTAAGAAAGAAGCTTTCTTATCAAATTAATCAATAAAGAGTTACTAATGCTTTCCAAACTAGCCATAAAAAAACCAGATCTATATAAATAAATAGAGTGTATAACATGCAAACAGCAAGTAAAAACAATAGAACACCTACTAAAATATCTAGCATATAAAGTCAAATGGCAGGAAATTTGAAACAAAGAAACTGAAGACATTCTAAAAGACTTTCAAAAACTTCTGCATGAAAGAAGAAAGAGATAGAAGAGAAAGAAATAAGACTTCTAGTTGAAGACAGAATAGAATTAGAATAATTGAATAAATATATAATCAGACTTATAGAAGAGACTGCAGAAACAGGTCAGAATATACTAAATTTTTGAATAGGACTAATATGAAGTGATCATATATTGAAAATATCAAATCTAAAATGTTGCTGGAAAAGAATAAATAAAGAAGCTTAAAAGTAGATAATAAAGATGTAGAATAAGATTTGCAATCAATTCTAAAAAAAGATTTGAAATGAAAGGTGCTCAAGAATGATTGAGTGGAAACAAGTACAAGGGAACTATAGAAAAGACAAAATAAGAAGATCAACCAGTCTTTTAAATCAAAACAACAAGATTACAATTATGAAAATGTTCTTACAGGAAGAAAAAAAACTTGAAGATAAAAGTCTAAAACAAATATTTCTAGAAGAAGTAAAATATAGAATAAGATGATTAGAGTTTTAACTTCTGTTAAAACTCATAAGAAGAATCAGTAATAGTGATCTGTAGGCAATAGAATTAGTAGTTGGAAGGGTTTTCACCTAAGCTATTAATGGAGCATAAATCATTTCTAAAGTTGTAATTAGAGTGGTAATAATCAAAATGAGTAAACTAATTAGAGATTTATCTTTACAATTTATTTTAGAATACTTTTTTTTTTTTTTTTTTTTTTTTTTTCCGTACGTGTATTTTTGGGCGGTGATGAAAGAGAGAAAGGGAACGCGTGGACAATCCGTTGTTCAGGCACCATATGAAACCGGAAAGCGCGTTAATCAAGCAAAGGCTAAACTTAATTCTAAGAAAGAATACACGAGTCGTGCGTCGAATGATAAGGGCATTGTATCATTGGACAAATTTCATGAGGATTTTCTGGAGTCGGTTAAAAACCGAGAGGTTGAAATCACTCGGATATCAGGAGGCTGCTTGAACAAATTACCAGGAGTTTTTTCAATCGATTCGAAGTGGGTGTCCAGGAAGTTGTATTCATTCGGATAATTTTATTAGCATAGAAATGTAAATAGACGGGGGGGGGTTTTTTTTTTGTGGTTAAAAAGCAAATCGAGATATGATATACGAACTTAATTTTTTAATATCTTATGCTGCCAATTGCCGGAGGTTTAGACCGAATTGATGAAATGGCGAATTGAAAAATTATGGAACGGGAAAATTATTAATTAATTGATCACATCTTAATTTTAGATACATTTTCTGCGCTTGTTCAAATGTCATCAAGGTTTATAGTGTAGCAACCGGCGATGTAGTTAGAATAATTTCAGAATCTCCCGAGAAGAACGGTCATAAAGATGAAATTACTTGCATCATGTTAAATCCAAACGATTCGTCGCAAGTAAGGGTCATGAGTATCTCTTTTAATTTACTTTGCTACTTTGGCTATCATGGAGTCATTATATTTTCCGCGTGATACTAGCTATATTCTGCATCGCTGGATGGTACGGTGAGAAAGTGGGATCATACCAATTCGGATTTACTGGAGGCAAATTTTTAATTTTTAGATGTTGGATTTACAAACCTCCAATATCATCATTGTTGAATATTCGTTCTTGGCTTTATTAGGTATATGAATTGGGCATTCCAATTTATCGAATGATGATTCTTGCCTCTTATCCGGATCAATTCTTCGTGGTCACCGGTGAGCCCAGGGTGTCACTTGAGAAAGAAAGAAGTTTGTCAAATTTATTTTCTGCTACCTTTAATGCACATATATATATTCGGGCCCAAAGGTTTTACTCTTTCTCCCGTCTATTCCTCCTCAGAAGCTAGTGGTCACCAGATGAGTCAGAAATATGTTCTCTTACATTTCAAATTTGACTCCAGAGATGGTCAACCTAAAACTCAAATTATATGTAAATCTGGATATAGCTGTACTGGTTTAGATGCCAGTGCCGATGGAGAATTTTTAGTTGTCACCTTCATTCAAATAATTCGAGTGATTAAAGTAAAATCAATTCAAGATTCAAACAGACCAAAGTGGCCAAAGTAATTTTATTCGATTATGGTGATCATTGGATGAAGTTAGTGTTGTAAAATGACACCCTTTTCAACACGACGTTAATAAAATTCTAGATATAAACATCCGACAAGAATCACGTGCGTCACAGTTCATCCTGCAGAGTCTTGTGTATCGATTGGCGATGACACGGGGAAAATCACTTATTGGTATGCTACACGATCTAAATCATTCCATGCCGAATTTCATTTTTAATGGACATTTTCCTCATGCTTAACTGAACATAGGTATTGTCTCAGTGAGAATCAAATCCAGGATCCAGTCACATCGACAGTTCACTGGCATGCCCATAAAGTCAACCACATCACGTTCACAAATGACGGTATCTTACCTTCATTTCATATACAAGAACGCGAGTTTGTTTGATTTATTCATTTTTTTTTTTTTTTCTCTTGTAATGCATCTCCACAGGCTCCTATCTCCTCTCTGGTGGAGAAGAAGCTGTCCTCGTAATATGGCAGGTTGAGACGGGATATACGACATTTCTACCTCGTCTTGGATCAGAAATTCTTTTCATTACGATCAGCCCTGACCAGACCTTATATGCGATTAGCTTTACGGATAATTCGATTAAGATATATTCAGCGATAAACTTAGAAATCAAGCAAGCGATACAAGGGTTAAAATATGGTGTGCCTTCAATCTGTTTACGGTTACAAAGTCATCAATGCTTTATAATTTTTGTGTTCCAACAACTCCTCTAACCAACTTATCATAGCGCAATTAAATAGCACAAAAAATCTCCTGTCCACCGGACTCGTGATCGAGCCGCGAAACCATTACGTAGTTCTCAATGGAAACCCGGGAGCCATACAATTTTACAACGCTTATACTGATAGGAACGTGATGGAATTTGAGGTTTCGTCACGAATTTTAGTATCTAGAGCATTTCAAAAAGAGATGATATATCATCACGTATGTCACGTGGCGTTTTCATTGAATGGGAGTTGGATGGTCACGGTAATTTTTTTTTTTTTTTTTTGAAATTTCATTGATGATGTCTCCTTTGATAAATAATCACGATATTAAGAATGCGTTTTCATTGATTTTCAGGTTGATTCCAGAGATGATCATGAGACGACACCAGAATTATATTTGAAGTTTTGGCGATTTGATTCCTCCTTGCAAACTTACGTCCTCAACACGCGTGTCGACCACCCGCATTCAAAGCCGATTGTGTCATTGAATTGTCATCGTGGTTCCAGTGATAGCAGTCCGGTTTTTGTAACCACCGGTTTAGATAATAAATTCAAGGTGTGGCGGATTAGTGCTGAAAATGATTCCAAAACTTCGGAGCGTATGTATATAGTAATAATTCGTATATCATCAATTCTTCAATAACGTAATCGATTTCCGCATCAGGTCGGATAGTGTGGTCGTGTACTTTTGTGGGTTCTTATCGGCAATATACGCCGGGCACGGCAGCTTTTTCTCACGACGGATCCATACTCGCGATTGCATACGGCTCGATTGTAACATTATGGGATTCTCGATTGAACGTTCTCAACCGTGTTTTACCAAATAATGAACCGGTAAAACACATCGTCTTCACCAACAATGCACCGTTCCTCGTGACCACAACAAGAAGTCACTTGTACGTATGGAACTTGCTTACGTGCACGAGTAAGTCTTTAGACTCGGTTGTTGTTAGTGCGTCATAATTGATCGGTTATTTGCTAATATCCAATATACCTTGCGTTCAGTTTGGTGGAGTTATAGACTGGAGGTCCATCATCTAGTTGCTGACCCCGAAAATTCAAGTTTCGCCGTCGCAAGTAACAATGAAAAGTTACTAGGTATTAAAACTTTCGCGATCAATTTATTTTACGCTTTCCGAATTTCACTATTGTTAATTGAATTTTCGCATTTATTTAGAATGCACGTTCCTGATTTTTGATCCAAAGAATTACATCCCAATTGTGATTCATAAGATAAAGGATTTTGTCGAAGCGATGGCTTATCTGCCAAAACGTCCCGACAGCATAGATTCGTCATCGAATCCTTTACTATCGCAAATTATTTACTTGAATCAAAAATACGACATGCTTTCGATAGAAGACAAAGGTCCACAGTGAGGGATGACTTCGTCGAGATTGACGCGCTCTCATGCGTCACCGAAAAAATTAATTAATTCTATTGTAATAAAAAATTCAAACATTTGGCGTAGTGTTATTTAATTTTACCGGATATAATAAAATCGATATCGAAGAAAATTATGAGCTGTTAAATTGTTTAATCGTTTACTTTTTGCAAACCAATATAACCTCATTACATTACAGTATATCTAATTTACCTTTGTTCTCGCATAGAAATAATCGATTCTTTGAAAATAATTTCAAGACCCTTTATTATATATAATATTCATAACGGTTTTATTTATTTATTTATTTATTTATTTATTTTGCGTATAATTTGTAGCCAAGGCTAGATTTGGCATTTATTAATCAATTTAATACACACAAGTACGTTTTTCATATAGAGATCATCATTGGCATAAAAAGTCTTTGAGTTTGTTCTTGGAAACAATTTGATGCTCTATAATGGATTTTGGGTAAATATCCTCCTAATTCATATATCATTGCTAGCATGTTGTCACTGCCGATTATCCTATCAAGTCACTGGAATACAGGAAATTACACGAGAGGATAAGTTAAAAAAGGAAAAAGAGAATATCTAAGAATTCACAAGCATATTCACAAGCTTATTGATAAGAATAAAAAAAATAAAGATTGAAAAAACAATATTTACCTTTCTTCAAATATCTATATTTCTAAGACCTTTTCTCAATAAGATTTGTTCAATTTAAATATTTTTTTTTTCTCCTTGTTATCTAAAAATTTTAATTATAATTTTTTTTTTTAAAAAACCTTATGTCAAACTAGATATGTGTGTTTTATTAAAAATTTGTATGCTTTATATTATAAAATGTTTCACTAAAGCTAAGTTTCTATCTAATTTACTTATTTCCATTTAAATTTTGTAAAATTCTAAGTGTAACTTTGAAAGTGATTTATTGCTTCATTAGTAGTTCAAATAAAAATTTTTTTAATTGTTAATTTTATTTTTGTAAGTTATTATTATAAGTCATTTTTTGATATTCTAACACAACTTAAAACTTAATTACTTTATTTTATATTTCACTTTTTTTATTAAAATCTTTTCTTATTGAAGATATAGTTTTCTAAATTAAAGAAAACAAAAATCTTTTTATTTTATTCTCTTTTCAGATTACTTGTATTTGTTTTTATTTAATTATTTTTTCATATCTCATATTTCAACTTCTTTTTTGCATTTTTATTATATATTTTCTTGCTTTTTTATATATATACAGTATATATTTTTATAATATTTTGGGATCATTATTTCTAGGATAGAATCACCTCTTATAAGATTAATATAAAAACTTAAAATAACTTAACTAGTTTTTGAAATATATTATATCAATCTGAAAATCTACTTATTAAATTTCTTTAATTTTTTCCAATTATTTATAATTAATCTAATACTTTCTTTTCAACCTTTTTTTTTTCTTATAAAAGTTTTTTAAAGTTTCTAAAAAAAATTCTATTTTTTTGTTTAATATTTTTTATAATTAATTTTTTTAAGTATAATATTCTAATAAGTATTTTATTATTTTATCTTATAGACTATATATAATACATTTTATTTATTTATATAAATTAGACCTTCTTATATCATTACTAAAAAGAAAAAAAGATTCAAAAGAATTGAATACAAATTTATTGAATAGACTATATAAGACCAAGAAAAACTAATATTATCATCAATTAAAATCTAAGTCAAAAAGAAATAAGAAAAGAAATACATAGAAATTATTAAAAATTGGATTTGTTATGAAATAAAATGGTTTGATTTTTAACTGTAGGCAAAATTTAAAATAATTTATAGTAATAACTTGTAGACAATAATTTTGCTGATTAAGAAGTATTTCAAATTAGTAAAAGAGTGAAATATCTTTTTCTAAGTTGTATCTAAAGAAATAATTTTTAATAACAAGTGAGTTAGTATGTAAAAGTTAAATAATTTATAAATATTATATAGTATATTTATATAATAAAAACAAACTATGTTGACTTAATTGCAAGTTAAAAAAAAAAAAAAAAAAGGTTTTCTTGTATCAATTTACTTAAAGTTGATAATTTATTATTAATTAGTTTAATAAAAAAGTTTTTTTATTAAAACATTTTAAAAAATATATATTATATATATTTATCTTTTATTCTCTTTTATACTAAATTTCACATATAAACTTGTTTTAAAATTTAATAATTTTTTTTTTCTATTCTATTTTATTGTATTTTTTTATTTTTTTAAAATATCAACTTAGCATATTTATTAATAATAATAAGATAGAGTATAAACTACATTAAAAATATTATAGCTATTATAATACTAATAAATTATCTAAAACTAAACAGTTTATCAGATTGCTTTTTATTACTTTATACTAAAGGAGACTAATCTAAAGTTATCTTTAAACTAATGCTAGAATTTATAAAAAAAAACATTACAATGTTATTAGACAAGGACCTAAGTTCCTTTACTATCAACTATCCACTAAAACTAATATCAAAAATAAGTCAAAATCTATTGATTATTTATCAAAGTATTGTATCTCTTCATCTTTGAAAAGGAAATAAGAAATTTCTTCTTCTGACTGGAAGAGAAATGGTTTCAAATATCAACTTTATTAATATTATCTCATCTGGCACTCTATCTGGGGAACTACTTATCCAAAAATTAGGTAGAAACTGTAGTTAGAGAGATACCTTAAAACCATAGTGGATTGATGATTTGATTCTAAAAATAATATTAACTTCAAACATAAGCTATTTATTTAAGAAGGCACAACTTTTTCAAAGTCAGGTTAAGTCTTTAAAGGATCTTCCAATCTGATAGTTATTTTCAACAAGTACTTTTAATAAAAGTAAAATTGGTAAGTGTCACTAATGACCTAGATAGTTATACCTAAGGAGAAGTTATGTTGAAAACCTTGATATACAGTTACTTCCAAAAGTTTGAGTTCACTTACTATATTTTTATTATAAATTTCAACTTTGATAATTTTTAAATCATTAACTATACAGTCAAAAATTATAAAA